TGCTTATGGCGCATTAATGGGAAAAAAGGGCTATACAATAAAATAGTACAATGATAAATTCACCAATATTAAACTGAACTTTTCTAAACAAAATTAATATGGATTTTAGTTTGTGGTTCATTGTTATTTTTTTTAATATTTTTTTTTAATGGATACCCACACTGTAAAAAAAAATCCGTAAAATTTACGGTAAAAAACCGGCAGCTGTGGTTGCCAGAATTTTACCGTAAAAAAAGGTGCAAATAATATGACATTAGAACTAATATTAGGTAATAGAAAATTCAGAAGAATGATAATAAGTTACCTAATAGACACGGGAATCTTCATGGGAATATAAGGAATAATTGTATGTAATTTAATTTTTTTTATAAAGCCTTCTCATTGTCACTCCACACACCAGTTCAGTTGGTGGCGGTAATGCACCAAAAGTTGGCTTGCCCACCGCCAATAAACACTACAAGAAGAAGAAGAAGAAGAAGAAGAAGAAGAAGAACAGCTCCGGCGTGACGCAGCTGACACAGAATATCCTCAAATAATACATGTTTTGGATGGACTGTAAAAAAAGAGGCTGGGGATATTGGATTTACAAGAATAGATGCAAGTCCTACAGTGGAAATTCCCATAATACCTCCGTGGTTATTTCAAATGCCTATAGTAGACCTTCAGATTTGGGAAGAAATTAATAATAAAAAGGGTTATGTTTCCAAGAATGAGATTGCACAAATATACATGGATCAAAATTATAGTCAGGAAATTAAAATATTTACAAAAAATTCACCAATATAGATTAAGTACTTCATTTTTATGGGTACCGGCACATGTTGGGATAGAGGGAAATGAGGAAGCTGATCAAATGGCCAAGAAGGCATTAAAACAAACCGATATAGATATAAACATATCCTATTTGCCATAGCGACAGCTAGAATCTAGTGGAGTGCCGAGTCGCTTTCACCCCAAAATGGCGGACGCGTAGGGCTGCTGCTGCAATGGCTTCTCGTCAGTATACGTTCTTTGCTGCACGTGAACCTCCGTTGGACTGATTGATGGCGTCACTGATTTTTTGATGAGAGGTAAGAATCTTTTTTTCGTTTTTTATGCCTAAATGATCATGTATTTCACACCACACTAACGCTATTAACGTTATTAATGAACGCATTTAACGATTAATAAACTTTCATGTCGTTAAGAAGAGCCACTCGGCAGACAAAAATAAGGTTTCTAGTTGCCTGCAACGCCAACTTTGTGCAAAAACGTTTGTTTAAACTCACAAACTTCCACAATACATCCAATATAAATGTATAAACAATTATTTTACGATTTTATATAACTTTAAAAGTCTCCCCTGTCCTGTAGTATCTTCCGTTAACTATTGCGAATGTGCTGTTGATTTGGTCAGCGTGGTCCTCCTGCAGTTATATATGTTAAAAGAAAATGTTTTTATTAATTATTAAAAACAGTCATCTGATTGGTCGAACAGCACTTGGACGTTTCACCGGTCGGTGACTCTTTCTGCTGGTCACATCGTTACGCCGGTAGGCAACAGATGACCGTCTTTGTGGCAGTCAATTCAACCGATTCGTTCAAACCGCCGAACGAGTCATTGAATCACTCGTTGAACCGTTTTGTTCAAAAACGAAGAATCATTGAAGATTCAGGAACGAATTCAGGTGCTGCTCGGTGTCGCGGCGGTTCTTCTGTGTATTTGTTTGGAAAGCAGACAAAGTAACTGGCAATATTTTGTCTAAAATGTAAGTTACTCGTTGTTTATTTGCTATTAACTGTTGTATAAAAACGATCGTGCTGCCTCCTCCTTGCTCCATCAGTTATCTTCTCAGGATCGACACAAATTGTCATTGTTGCTAGTTCTTGCTAGTTCATTATGTTACTAGTAATAAACGGAGGCTTAGGACATTTTTAAATCGCAACGGTAAACCGTATGTTAGTGTGGATTGACTTTAACTATCGACTATTTTTCCAACAGGTAACGTTACTCCTAATTTGCCTCGTTCAGCAGATTGTCCCGTCCTAAACTCGCGCCGTTGGTTGAACCGGACTTTGACAGCAAACACGCTGTGAGCGCCTGAATAAGTGCTGTGGAAAAGTCACTGCAGCCCGTGAAGAGTGTTGTCCTCTAAAACAATCCTTCAAAACTTCATTTGGACCATTTTGATAGGTGTGATGCCATATATTTCTACAAATAATAGACATTTGACTGGCATTTAAAACCACAACAACAAAAAAGTTTATTTAAAGGGGTCATATGATGCTTTTTTTAAAGATCATTATTTTGTGTATTTGGCGTTTTAGGGGGGCGTGGCAGAGTCTTAACTTTGATAAAGAATATCTCTTTGGTTTTGAGACTTTAGTCTTTGCAACTTCAGGGTTCTTATCTATGCACAATCAGCTTGTAACACTCCAAAGAGAAAGGAAAACTTGAAATCGCATCATATGACCCCTTTAAGTGTCTTTAATTGAGGAATCTCTTGTAGGGTTGTCTCATAATTTGTCCATCAGTCTTTTTACATCAACTAGGAGAAATTGCTCTCTGTGACGTGATTTTTTTTTTTTTCTGTCGCTCAGAGCATCCCAATAAAACTTTTCATGAGATGTACATACTATTTCACAGCACTGTACACCAGCTATACACATTTGCCATCATGTTGATGTCTTATGAAGTATGAGCTTTATTATGCATGTTATCTTATTCTTATTCACTCGTTTGCAGGCTTTGCCGTGGAAATTGGAGAGATGTTAGAAATACAAATAATCAAGGTAGAGCACTACATGACGGCTGTTTCTATCATTTATGAAGCAACCAGTATTATTTTAGTATTGTTAAGATACTATTATTAATTATTTTGAATTGGTTTTTAAAATATTTTAGTTTGAATTTGTAACTAGTTTTTAAAATGTTTTGGTTTTTGTCATTTGTAATTATTATTATTATTATTATTATTATTTAATGTCTATATGGTTTTTATTCATTTTTATTTGAGTTTTATGTATTGTAGTACATCAAGTTAAAGCAGATGAAAATGAGAAATGCTGCCTTGGGCAACTAACAGTTAAAGTTTTTTTTTTTCCCAGGTAAATTGTTTTATAAACAAGTAAATTAAGTTTTAAATATAAAATAAGTGTTTTTATACTTTTAGTTAATTATAATAACCCTAATAGTAAGGCTCTTGCTGGGATGTCAAATATGTAACACTGATAATTGTTTACAAAAAAAAAAAGGCTGGGTGATATTTTCAAAACAATTTTTGACGAGATTTTTTTATATTTATGTATTTGCACTGAAGTCCAAGTCGTGTTTTACAGTAGGCAGCACAGTATTGGCTTATTTCTAATAATTTAATTATTTATCCCCAAAAAAAAAACTGTCTTTGCAATTTTTTTTATATATTCATTTACATGTCCATTACATGAATTCTGAACAAAAGTTCAGCACATGCAGTGCCCAGTCTCCACTTTCGAAATGTCATAATGTCACCAGAGACACCATTGAGCATTATTGCTGTTTTTGCCTTCATAGACATATTGAAAAAGAAAGCTATCGTCCTTAGTATCTTTTTTTTATTTTTATTATTTTATTTTATTTTTGGTGTATACAGTATATGGTAATTAAAACACAAAAAGCTGACAGAAGAGCTTTTATAGCAAATATGTAATAAATATTCAGTCTTCTCCAGTGATCAGTTGGTATATAACACGCACACTCTCTGTCTTGTGTCAGATTGAAGATCCAGGATGTCTGTGGGCTCGAGTTCTGAAAGGACCAGGCATTCAGCCGTACAGTCCAGAGGAATATGAGAACCTGGGAGTGAAAATGAACCTCTTCTACCACGAGGTCGACCTGGACGTTCAAAAACTAAAGCCTGCTGAACTGAAGGAGGGGCTGGTATGCCATTTCAGAATATAGATATGCATTAATAATAATACCTTTGTTTGTTTAATTTTTGGGTATTTGACATGAAATACTTATAAGAGTTTGATTTGTCCTGTGGTGTTACGTGCCACTGTAGTTGGGGCACAACTAAAGGAACTTACTATGACTTAAAATGAGCTTACTGACTTAAAATGATGTAATGGAAAACAGTTGATTAAAAAACAAACCTTAAAAAAGGTGACCGTTTATGTCACAAATGTGCATTTATATAAATATTCAACTAAAATGTTGGTGTTCATTTAAAGGGGGTAAAATAAGAGTATGTTTTGAGAGAGTATGTTGACACTGTGTGATTTAATGGCTTTGAATAATGCCTGTCTGCTCTCAGGTGACTGGCCCTGTAAGCTTTCCTGTCTCCTCTCCTCAGGTGTGTGTGGTGTTCAGTCTGGCTCTGAAGAGTTGGTGTCGAGCTGCAGTCGAGTCGGTCTTTCAGGGGATGGTGGACACTCAGGCTTGGTGCTTGTTAGTGGACCACGGAGATCGAATCATCGTCAGAGCAGATGAGTATGAGACGTTTTGCTGTTTATATCTGATAAAGCACAGCTGTAGAACTCATAATGTAATAACTAGGGCTGGCTCGATACCACTTTTTCAGAACCGATCCAGTATCGGCCGATACTAATCCGATACCAGCGCATTTTTTATTTATTTTTTTAAATCACTGTAGAATTTCTATACCTCAATGTTGACCTGATCATCACTCTTTGGTGTGTAAAACACAACCTACCATATATAGACAACTTCATTGTAAAGAAAAACAACAAATGACTAAATATATAATCATAATCTGTGACAAAAATACTACTATAAACTAGGTTAGTGGATAATTCGGCAGCAAAAGTTACTCTAGAAAAATCATGAGTGCACAATAATTTTATAAAATCTAAACATTTAGTGAAAAAATAATATTATTTTGTGGGGAACAAATAAAAGTGAATAAGTGTAGGGCTAAATCTTTGTATTGTTGTAAAATACATTCATGAAAAACAAGTAATATGTTTATATATTAATTAATATACAGTCATGGCCAAAAGTTTTGGCAGTGACCTAAATTTTGTGTTTTGCAAAGTTTGCTGCTTAAGCTGTTGTGGTGTTCATTCACATTGTTTCTAGATTATCGTGTAGAGTGATCAGATGCATTTTAAATAATTGCTAAAAGCTTCATTGGTAAAAAAAAATGAACTTTTCACAAAAAAACACATTTTGGATCCGTGGCCAGGCAACACCCCGGATCTCAATCCCATAGAGAACCTGTGGTCAGTCCTCAGAAGGCGAGTGGACAAGCAGAAGCCCACAAATTGTGATCAACTCCGAGAACTAATAAGGCAAGAATGGATCGCCATCAGTCAGGATTTGGCCCAGAAGCTAATATCCAGCATGCCAGAACAAATAGCAGAGGTTATGAAGAACAAGGGTCAACACTGTAAATATTGACTCATTATATATTTTTTGCCAATAAAAGCCTTTAAAACTTATGATATGCTTATCATTGTTTTTCAGTATACCATAGACACATGTGGAAAATTAATCTACAAATACTGAAGCAGCAAACTTTTGCAAAACACAAAATTTATATCACTGTCAACTTTTGGCCACGACAGTACTATAAAATTAAAAGACATTTCTTTTAAATGTATAGCACAGTAATGAGGTAGCAACATATGAGAGATAAGACAACAAGAAAGGCTATTAATAATCTTTCATTGCGCTAAAGTATTATAACATGAAAGGCTTCTATATGGAGCGGCAACACGCTTGAAGCAACACTGAGTCACAGCAAGCAGCGCTCTACACAGAAAAGTTCAAAGCACAAAGGGAAGAGGATTTTGATGCGTAGTGTATTATATCTGTGTAATAGTTTGAGCCTTTTCTTTTAACATTTTTTAAATTTCAGTTACTGTGCGCATGAAGACCAGTTCATAGTGCTCTCTACTCCAGTGTTGTGATCTCTAACAGACACCCGGTAGAAAGTAACATGCTTTATCTTGCCGGAGTTTAGTGCTGTTTCTAAAGTCCTTTTATGCAAAACCACTTTTTTTTTTCTATACATCACATCTTTATCTACAGATCAAGTATAATAATAGGAACATTGTATCATCTTGGAGAGTTTTATCGTCTTGACTGCCATAACCGAACGCGACGCGCAGTTTGAATGCTGAATGGAGGATGACTGACGTCTGTCAGCCGCAGCGGAGAGAAGAGTTTGAGAACTTGAATTTAACGACTTAAGTATTAATCTGTACCTCACATTAAACTATGGAAGGGCTTCAGAACACTTGGATTATAGTGCACGAAAACTTTATGGTGCTTTGTAATGTTTTTGTGCCTTTCGTGGGGCTTAACAATAACACAGAATAGTATATGCAGAATATCGGATTTGGATCAGTCTCATCTTGACCGATACCCGATCAGGCAGAAAATGGCAGTATCGGAGCCGATACCGATACTAAGTATCGGATCGGTGCACCCCTAGTAATAAAAAAAGCATAATGTAATCTCAAAACGTAAAAAAATCTTGGGCTCATAATAAAAATTTTCACAATGTAATAGGTTATTGTATGATAAATTTATTACATTTTGAAAACACTGTGGCAACTTATAATGTAATCACAGTTCATAAAGTAATATCAGCATATAATGTAAATCGGTGTTTACAATATAATAATTATCTTTCAATATAATAAATTTGAGCACAAAGTGTAAAATAGTTTTATGTAAAATAAGTTATTACATTAAAATGCTTATTAGACTACATTTTGAACCCAACATTTTTATAAAAATCGTACTAATTGTATGATTATGACGTGCTCCGTCATTTTGAGGCGCTTTAACCCAGAAACACATTTTAAGTTGTATGCACTAAATTAAAAAATGAAGTGTCCACTTTCTAATTATGTAGTTATACTGTTTTTTTGAAGAATTTTTGTGATATATTTATTTAAATGGTTGATATAAAAACACCCTCGGGTGGGCAGGGTTCGTACAAGGTGCTTAAAGTGCTTGAAGTACTTGAATTTGACTTTTTCAAATTTAAGTCCTGGAAAACCCTTAAAAACTGCCATAATAATGAAAAGGTACTTGAAAAGTACTTGAATGTTTAAAAGGCTGTATATATGAAATTAGTATTAATTTTAGTTTATGATTAAAAATAATATTTTCTCGCAAAATTAACCATGCAGTGCGTCTGATATATCTTTTAGCAGCGCACGAGAATTTGCGATATTACTCCTGGAGGTGAAAAGCGGTCTCGCAATATCAGTAAAAAGTTGATTTTGTGGTAAAACCTCTGATAGTGCTTGCATTATATTGTTCGGTCTTTTATTACATGTGCTGTTTGTTTAGGTTTCATTTGGGAATGCGTATAAAGTCTGACGCGCTTTGTGTTGCACTGTATCATTTACAAGCGTGGAGCATCTCCATCTCAGCCGCTCGGTCCACAAACTCTTCCTCTGCATATGCTGTGAGTTTGGGCTGCTTAACGTTCATCTGGGAAAACAGTGTGCGTTATCTCACTAAATTTATAACGTAAATCATTTATAAAACTATGCAAACACAGGAGAATACATCAACATATTTCTATTATGTGATTTGTTGTACATCGCGATTTCAAAATAACAGTTCAAACGGAGTTTGTATGTGGCCAAATATTAAAGTTACATGGATTTAAACGTTGTTGAATCACGCAGTAAAATGAAACATCACCAGGCCGTTGGCGCCCTCTTCAGGTATTTGTTATAATATATAATATTAGGTATAAGCATGTTACATTGTTTTTTAAAAGTGTTGTTCAATAAAGCCATGTGTTTACTTGGTTTTGGTACTTTATTTGAACCAATTATTATTGTCTCATCATTAGTTTAATATACATACATGTAGTCAATATAAAGCCTGTTTTTCACTTAGGTCTATTTTTATTACTAAAAAATATCAGATTACTCAATTGTCAAAATAATCAGTATTACTTGATTACCAAGATTATCATTAGTTATGGCTCTAGATTAGCTAAATGTTTCAAAATACAACTTTATTGTTATGCTTTTTGTTATTAAAAGACACATATTTTGTCATTGAACATTTCTTAAAAATAGTATTAAAATACTGTCTCGTTCTAGTAAACCAAGTATCTGTATTTTGTCTCATCTCGTGAGCTAAGTGTATTATCACACCCCTAGTGTCTACGAGTGTGATATAGCTCATAACTTTCCAAGTGTATGATGAAGCTTTTACTCTTCAGGTCAATCATATATTCATAAAAAAATCACTTTGAATAAGGAAAGCGATAACTTTGCCATAGTATTCTTTCAAGTTGCCACAGCCATTGCATGCTTTGCATGTGCTACACTTTATTTGTACCATTTTGTTTTATGAGTTTATTTATTAGAATTTGAAAGATAATAACGATATTGTGATCTCTGATTTTTGTCCTTGAAAACAAAAAAAGTAGTGCTTAAAGTCCTTGAGAGTCCTGGAATTTCATTTTGCAGTTTCTGTACGAACCCTGGGTGGGTCGCGAGACATAAAAAATGGTTCGCCAGGATGATTTAAGGAAAATGTATATAGGTTATATAAAAAAAAAAATTTAAAAAAAAGACATGAAAAGGCATGTATAGGCAAAAACAATGTTTTATTTTTATTTTTTTTCATTCACTAATCAGTTTTTAGGTTTCGGGCTATTTTTAACCAAACTTTGTACAAAGATGATTCTCAACTATGTTATG